AGGTCCCAACGGAGTGCCCATGGTCCAGAATCTCTAAGCCACATTTCAAAGTGTCTGTCTCTTCTTATCCTGTCCCCCTAGCCCCTGGGACAAACTGATTCCCAGAGCCAGTCATTAAAACAGATTGTCAGCACTCAGAAAAGTGCAGCTCAGCGAGGTGCCCAACCAGCTGCCATCAAAGGATGCTGCTGCTGGGGACCAAAGATGGTCTGGGGAGATAATGGGCTGAGGGAGGCCTTGGGGGAAACTACCAAGCCGAAATAGCCATGTCTCGGAGTGTTGTCCAAACACAGGAAGTGGAGTCTGCTCTGGGATCGGGTGAAATCAAAGGGGCAGCCCAGAAAGGAAGGGCTATTTTCATCTTCTAGAAAGGCTTCAAACAATCCCGGGAGGGGCTGTCACCAGACTCTTTGGGAACAGGCGTCTGGGATGCAGAGACACACATCCCTCTCTGAAGCCTGGAGCGGGGTAGGAAGAGAGTTTCTGGTTCACTTATAAACAAACAGTCATTTCAGAGATTCTGCTCTCTGGGGCTTTCAGGAGCCTGTATCCCGCCAGGCACTGGGCAAGAACCCAAAAGTAGTGGCCACCGGTATCTTGGAAACCATCACCGTGGAGAGCAGGACCCTTCCAGATTGGGGTGGTGATGGTTTCTAGGGTGTGGTGCTCCTTGGAGCACCTTCCAGCAAGGAAACCTGTTAGGTGCTGTACTGAGATTCAAGCAGCACCCAGCACCCCACACGTGCTGGAGAGTGGGTGTAGACAGCCCCTCCAGAAATACCTTTAGGGCTTAAAATCCCAAGGGTTATTTTGAACCTGGCGGCTAGCTCTTGAGTCAGGAATGAGTCATGCGGGCTGTGGCTGGGAATGTGTAATTACATAAAGACGGAGGAGCTTCTGCACCGACTGCATCTTCTCTCTTTTTGTTCTTGGAAGGAATTTAAGGCTGCCGAAAGCAGTGTGGGGGGCCCAGACAGCTCCGGTGTTGTCCGGGTCAAGTCTTATGGACTGATTCTTCTCCCCAGTTCTTCCACAATGAGAGATTTGGCCCACCCTCAGTTGGTGCTCTAAGTGGGTCCCACTGGGAACTCAGGTCTGGGCTCCTTTGCTTTGAGTTGAAGTGTCTTGGATGCCCTCCTCCATGTTAGAGTACTGTTTGTAATCAGGGAGGAGGGCACAGCGTCCCCTGGATAGACCTGGCTCAAGGGTGCTTCCGTCTGAGCCCCAGGAGAGGCGTCCCAGACCCCCGCCTCCCTCCTTCCTGCAGGCACCTCTCCTTCTGAGAATTCACAGCGTCACGACTGAGGCGCCTGTTGGTAGATCATTTCCTGGGTTCGCAGAGCGTGACGTGCTATCAGGGCAGCGTTCGTCCTCAAAGCACTCTCTTGGGAATCGTGAGCCAATCGGAGCAAAACACGGGTGCAATTCTCACCCACTTGACTAACAGTCCTGACAGATGTCTCTGCCACAGATTCAGCCAGAATGGCTTTTAGAATGTAATGGCCTATAACACCCACAATCCTCCAGTGACTGTAGTCCCCAGGAAGGAGACCAGTCCATTTAAGTCCCGTGAAAGGTGTCAGTGCACAGCCTTTAGCTAGGCCCTCTTAGTTCCAAGGAAAGTGGAGTTGGCCTACGCAGCCTAAGGAAGCTGCTATCGACAGAGCAGGGGCCTCAACTGCTCTTCTTGGCTACGGGGGTCATGGGACTCAGGGGCTGTATTGAGCAGACGTTCTGGGTGGAGATAATTCCGCACAGCTTCTTCCTCCCCCTGCAGAGTCCCAAATAGCCTGCACAGAGGGTGTTGAGGCTGGTTCAAAGAAGCTAACAGTCCTAACAATACTTGGCTATGGCCGCCAGAGTTCTGGCCAAGAATCATAGCTGTTGGCCGGCCGGCCCCCAGCTGGCCTGTGCAGCCATCGCTGACCTGAGCTGCAGTACGGGACTAGGCCGCTCTGCCTCCTGCAGCTGGGCTTTGTGAGTTTGAAAATTGGAAGCTGAATGGCTGGTGTCCCCATTCATCAGAACCGCAGCTGAGGGCAGCAGCTGGGGAAAATTCTGGAACATCTCAGCCCCCAGGGGCCTTCTGAGATTCCTTCTGGGGTGGGAAGAAGGAATCCGCTGGCCGATGTGAGATGCGGCGAGAAGCGTGTGAGGGCTAAAGAGGCGGTTGCAATGTTGGTGAGTCCCCTCATGGCTCAGGGTGCCTCTGAACCAACAGAGTGCTCGTTCGGTTCCTGAGACGGGAAATGCACGCTCAGTGCCAACATGTGTGTCTCTTTGTTGTTGTTCTAGGGGTGGGAGCCCTGGGCTTCATAGAGGGCACCGTCTTTAGGAGAGTGGAGCCTCGGAGGGGCGTCCATCTGCTTGAGAAGGAAGTCTCCGGGCATCTAGCTCTCTTACCACACTCTCTGACCTTGTTTCAGGACCAGACCCAAGGCGCGCAAACAAGGTGTGAGCCCAGCTGACATGTACAGATGGAAGCTCTCATCCCATGAGCCCTGCAGCGCCACATGCACCACAGGTACTGAGCCCAGAGCCACTGGGGCGCCTTCTCTGAGCCTGAGAGGCTCTCCATTCTCTTCCGTCCCAACCCACTTCCTGGGAGTTTGCCTGGCTTCTTGGTCTGGGAGGAGGAACGGGATGGCAGGAGTTGGAGGGTCCCAAGAGCACCCTCGTTCCCACGGCATGCAGAATGACAATCAGGTCCAGGCCCCTCTGTCAGCCTTAACTATTCTCTAACATCTCAGGAGAGGGATTCTTCATAGTGAAGATGGGGGACCTTCAGCTTTGAGGTTCTGCTCACGCCGGCCCTGCCCCCAAACGCGCAACGATGCCCTGTACTCAACAATTTGGAAGCAAGCAAACAGCTTGGGGTGGGGGAGCATTTGAACCACACTGACTACTGTATCATACCCCAGGCTCTCAGCAAATTGCTACTGACTTCTAGCTGTAAAATGGAATCTGCCTTGGCAAAGGTGCTTGTGGGATAAATGAGAAGAAACAACCAGCCTCGTATAAATTCAGCCACTGAGCACCATTGCCCCACTGTAGGGCTCCAAGGCAAGGCTGAAGCTGGCACTAGCCCAGAAGCAGCCCAGATGAGCCCTGTGACCTGCCTTTTTCACAGGACCAAACTTCATGGCAGGTGCTGTGGCCTCAGCTTCTCGCAGCCTGTTGAAGCTGGGTGTGGGCACACTATGGATCCTTCTAGCCACCCTGGCTGTGGGACTTCCCATGTGTTGTGACAGTGGAAACTTTCTGGAAGCTGGGGAGGTGACATCACTTGAGATGTCTCCAGGTTGAGGCAGTCTTGGTGGCAAGGGGCCTGATGAATGAGTCCTGCTAGATGATGTCTCCAGGGAGAGCATGACACTATTGTCTTTCAACACTTACACAGTGGCCAGGACAGGAAGCTGGGCTGTTGTATGCTGCCCACAGTGCAGAGCAGGACACAAGAAGAAAGGAAATAGGACAGATCTGATATTAGGGAAGGGATGAGTTCTGCTTTAGACAAATATCAGAAGCAGAGAGGCTTCTGTCACCTTAGGAGGCACTGACCCAATTGAGTAACACTAACAGGAAGGACAGAGAAGGGTCCACACTGTGGACAACTCACTGTCTCGGCCCCCTTTTGCCTAACCTCATTAGTTGCTTGGAAAACCCTGTGTTGCCAGGACTTCAATTTGATGTGCACAGCTGCAACCTTGTTGAAAAGCCAGGCCACGGTATGTGGGTTTTGCCAGCTGTGGGTGCACACGATGTCTGCAGATGACCTGTAGAGAGTCCTGGGCGCACCGGCTTCTCTCCCCCTTTCCTCATGCTGAAACCCCTTCTCAAGGCTGGGCTAGGTTGTGGGGCCTGTCTTCTCTGCACCCTGAGCCCATCCATGTGAGGGTCTTAAGTTTGTTCTTTTGGAACGGCAATGCTGTTCCTAAATGTCTTGGACTGGGCTTTGGAGTATGGCTCCTAGACTGTCCCTCAATCTCCCAGGGCACAGCAAAACTTCCCAGGATCAAGGAAATTGGTAGGACCATTACTGGGGATGGACATCTGGTCTTGTCTGTTTCATATATCAGGGTGCAAAGCCCACTTCAGAACAAGGTAAGGGCTCTGTGGTTTTAGGAAGTTTTGAAAGCTCCCTGCTCAAGACAGGTGTAAGGAAAAGGGGCCCAGAAAAGTGGCATTTTGATCTTGTAGCCTTTCTGGAAATTTCCCATTCTGGAGATGAGCAATCTGGGGCCATGACGAGTCTGGTTGGCCCTGCTGTGTGTTTCCATTCCATGTCAATGCATAACCAGGTACTTGGGGCAGCTGCACAAGTCTCCAGCCCTGTCTGTATGTCTCTGGGTCCCAGAACTAGTGTCTTTGAGGCCTGAAATGTTCCAAGTAGACCTGGCCAGGAAGCTGCCTCCTTTCCCAGCAGGCTGAAGAATGCACAACCCAGTGCTGGCGGGGAGGAGCCAGTAATTGCAGCCTGGCTTGGCTTTCATGAAACAAACAGACACAGACACAGACACACACACACACACACACACACAGAGACAGAGAGAGATACAGATAGGCAAACATACACACAGACACACACACAGAGGGACAGAGAGACAGATGCACACAGACACACAGACACAAACACACAGACACACACACATACAGACACACACAAAGAGGGACAGAGAGATAGAGAGACAGACAGACACAGACACAGACACAGACACACACACACACACACACACACACATGGCTTCTTCACAGGCTCCATGGTTCTGTCTAGGACTGGGGTTTGGAGCAGCAGAAGCCACTGGGGTTCAGATACCCTGGGAAGGCAGATGCTCCGAAAACCCCAGGAGGCTCTTACGCATACAGCTCCACACTGGCTTTCCCCAGCCACGCACAATCCTGGTATACCTTGCTCTGGGGCAGGGCATACTCACCCTTTAGACAGCCCACATGCAGGCTTGCTCTTAGGTGTAGGAGGTAGGTCCAGGAAATCCATATGGTTGGGAGAAGTCTTTTTATTTTTAATGTGTGTATCCCTCCCTATTCCCAAGTGATTTTAGAATTCAGGAATCCCAGAAAAGCCACAGAGGTAGTTAAAGACATGGAGGTGCTAGTTAGGAGATCTTCAGTAAGAGCTGGGGCTCCTAGTCTGATATCTTGAGCAGGGCTATCAAGTGCTGCAATGTTTTTGTTTTTTCCTACCTGCTTGCCTGCTCATATCCTACAGTGGGGTTTAACAGACAGATGCACATCAGAATACCTGGGTGTATCTTACTCTGCCTCCAAAAGGCTCATCTAGGTTTGTAGCAGGTGAGCGAGATGCCTTAGCTGGGCAAAGAAAGAGGTCAGAGGTCAGATCCTGAGACTCTGGTCCACAGAGCTTCCCCACCTCCAGATCTAGGTTATTACTATCCCCAACCCAAGAAGCAGAGATCTCTGAGTGGTCATGTGACCCATCCAAGACTGTAAGGTATTTGCTGTTAACCACACAGTTTACGGACTTTCGCGTTGCTCCAAACCTAGGAGTCATGTCCACGTATGCCATGTGTGTTCGCTATGATGGTGTGGAGGTGGATGACAGCTACTGTGATGCCCTGACCCGTCCTGAGCCTGTCCACGAATTCTGCGCTGGGAGGGAGTGCCAGCCCAGGTACCTGTCCTTGAGCACCCAGCTGGGTGACAGAATGAGCGTGTGTGTGTGTGTGTGTGTGTGTGTGTGTGTGTGTGTGCGCGTGTGTGTGTGTGCGTGTGCACACACACGCACACGCTCTGCTTTGCTCCTGTTATGAGCTAAGCTGTGGGACCATGTAGGGAGCAGAGCAGAGCACATGGGATGGTCACTAAATACTTTCCACCACAATGTGTTTTCCACATTGCTCCCTATTCTAGAGGGCTGTCTTTGTACCTGGGCTGACCTACAAGGCTAGGATCTCTATAAGCTAGGGAAGACCCACATCCCTGAAATATGAGTGGAGCCTCATCTTTCCAGCCCCCATGCCTCTTATCTTGTCTTCAAGGCAGAAGCGGAGCCTTGGTGTTGCTTCCAAGGAGCCATGTATTTCTGGCTCCCCAACATGGCCACATTCCTTCTTTTCTTCCGGCTGCTACATCTGAGCATTTGTTCCTTTCTGGAACAAAAGACCACAGAGCTGGCCTGCACTTGACTTAGATTCTTCTCCAAGTATGTCTTCTCAGAGGACCTGCATGGAGGAACACAGTCTTTTATAACCCCACACAGCATAGGGTTGGAGATGGGTGGTCACCCTGCACACTGGAGACGCCTTCTCTGGGTGTAGAGCTGGACTTCCACCATTGCCACGAAGAATCAGAGTCCAGAAGGGGCCACGGTCACCTGTGTGACCCCGCAGGGCAAATGAGGTCTGGGGCTCCGGGACACTGGAGTATGAACCTGAAGAGTAGACGGAATGGGAGCAGGGGACAGAAAGGACAAAGGAGGAAGGGTTGGAGGTGAGGGTTGGTGAAGGTGGCCAGGTCCCTGAAGGCCATGGGTACCTGCAGGACACTCTCCTGACATTCTGCTTAGGGCTACCTAACACAGGGTTATCATGGGCACAGTCCCCACTGGCTGGTCTCACCTCCCTCCAGTCCGGTTTGGCCTGTGTGATTTGGGGCCACTGAGGGCTGTCCTCACTCCTGAGGCAGGTGGGAGACCAGCAGCTGGAGCGAGTGCTCACGCACCTGTGGTGAGGGCCATCAGTTCCGCATCGTGCGCTGCTGGAAGATGCTGTCCCCTGGCTTTGACAGCTCCGTGTACAGCGACCTGTGTGAGGCCACGGAGGCCGTGCGGCCCGAGGAGCGCAAGATATGCCGCAACCCGGCCTGTGGGCCACAGTGGGAGATGTCTGAGTGGTCAGAGGTGAGAGTGTGCCGCTGCTGGGGTGGAGGCCCGTGCCCGAGAACAGACCCGTCATGAGGCTTCCCACCCCGGCTTCCTCGCAGTGTACAGCCAAGTGTGGAGAGCGCAGCGTCGTGACCAGAGACATCCGCTGCTCCGAGGACGAGAAACTGTGTGACCCCAGCACCAGGCCTGTGGGAGAGAAGAATTGCACAGGGCCTCCCTGTGACCGCCAATGGACTGTGTCAGACTGGGGACCGGTGAGGCTAGATTCGGGGCATGGGGCTAGTGACGGGTCCCTGACCTTGAGGCCTCGCCTTTCTGATCCTCAGTTTTCCCATCTATCTGTAGTGAAGGCACCAGGAGAAAAGTACAATGACCCCCCTTCCACTCTTCCAGGGACTCAAACCCCTGCCCAGAAACCAGAGTGGACATAACCATCCCACTATGGCACCTCTGTTTCCACCTCCTGTGACTACATATCTCCTTCTCCCCATCTTCCAGTGTGCATGCCTTCCCCCGGCTCTGTCTCTCTGCTTACTTTCCCTTCCTGTCTCTGTCTCCATCTGTTTCTCTCATCTGGAACAGGGCTGCTCATCTGCTAGGTAGGGTCCTCTCTTGCGGCGGGGGCTCGGGTGACCTTTTGAGCTGTGCTTTTCTCTGTGTGTGTTTTGCACTGAACATGTTATTTCTGTAATTAGAGCAGAAATGTTATTTCAAAAGCGGTTACCGTGGAAACTGCTTCCCCTGCACTGCCCTGGAGGCTGTTTCTCTTACTCGGGGATGATGCGGGTCGGGGGCTTGCGGGATGGTCCCTGCTTCAACCGGGCCCTGTGGCTCCTTATTCCAGTGCAGCGGAAGCTGCGGGCAGGGCCGGACGATCAGGCACGTGTACTGTAAGACCAGCGATGGACGGGTAGTCCCGGAGTCTCAGTGCCAGATGGAGACGAAGCCTCTGGCCATCCACCCCTGTGGGGACAAGAACTGCCCGGCCCACTGGCTGGCTCAAGACTGGGAGAGGGTGAGTATCCTGGGGTCTGCGTGGAGCCTCTCTCTGGATCACAGAGGGGATGGGGAGAAGTGGCCCGAGTGTCAACAGCAGGTCACAGGGAGGAATTCATGACAAGCTATGAAGAACAATTAACTAATAATTAACTTGGAAAAAAAGGTCAAAGAGATAGTAAGGCCGCTTCCTGTCTCCTCCCCCGGGGATGTCTGCAGGACCCCCGCAGAGTTTCTCTCTGAGCCCTGCTCTGGTGGACACAAAGAGACAGGGTGTGTTGGTTGCACACACTTTCAGCCCACAGGGTCTTGATGACCTTTCGCCATCACAACCCATTTGTCTTCTGCCCCAACATGTCCTTGTCACTAACTTGCCATTTCAGACAATTGCTCTCAGTCAGTGTTTTTCAGGCAGGCCACTGTTAACTAAATAATCTTGGGCCAAATTGCTTTCTGCAGAATTGATTTTGGCCTGATCATCCTTGGCCAAATTACATTAGCCAATTTGTTTCAAAACAGATGGTTTGGGCCTGATTGCTTTTGATCAAATCTGGATGGGGCCAAACGGTTACCGAACAAAGAGTCGTCAGCCAATCTCCCCTGTTGAAAGCCCTTGCCTTTTACCCAGATATCATTGACGGAGCCTTGGCCACCAGGGGTGCTGTGTCAGGTTCTGGTTTTCTGGGCTTCGGGGTCACTGACCCATCCTGTCTGGCCCCTTTCAGTGCAATACTACCTGTGGGCGTGGCGTGAAAAAGCGGTTGGTTCTCTGCATGGAGCTGGCCAATGGGAAGCCTCAGATGCGCAGTGGTCCTGAGTGTGGGCTGTCCAGGAAGCCCCCTGAGGAGAGCACGTGCTTTGAGAGACCATGCTTCAAGTGGTACACCAGCCCCTGGTCAGAGGTGAGCAACTCCCCCCCCCCCCCCCCCCACACACACACAGCTGCTTTAAGCCAGGCCTAGGTGCTGATCCTGCCACGTAACTTCCATCTTGGCCCATGCCCATCAAGCCTTCCTCCAAGCCTCAGTCAGCCAGGACGCTTGCCCCCAGATGCTTCTAGATCAGCTGGTGGAGAGCCACCACTGCCTGGAAGCCTTTGCTGATCTTATCCTGGTGTCCCTACAGCTCTTTTTGTGTGCCTGTCTGAGCCTGGTCACTTTTGGCTTAAAAAAAAAATGAGGCTTTTAAGCATTGTGTTTGGTAGCAAGTATGCCTGATATTCTCCAAAGGGTAGTGCAGTCCCGGTGGACACAGAGGGTAAGATTGGCTGAGGCATGGCTAAGGCAGAGGCATGAGACTTGGGCATACAAGTGGCAGAATGTGAGCCCTAGGTCAGAGGGCAGAGCAGCAGGCTGTCCGGACCCCTTGCTCCGTTCTACAGGCTCCTTAGCACGTAAGGCAGGATAGAGCTGAGCTCTCTGACCGTCACCTGTTGCCACAGAGGTCACTGAGGGCAGCTGCGGCCCAGCACTTGTCCCCAGATCTCTTTTCCAATTGTTACTTACCGAGAGGAAGAAACTGAAGTTGACAAGAGTTTTCCAGCTTGGGGCCCGAGTTTAAGGAGTGTTAGACATGGGGCTGAGGACTCTGCAAAGGGAAGGGGTGCAAACTGGTCCATCTCAGGAGTCCAGGGCAAGGAGCCTAAGGCGTGAGTAGCCTCAATTCACAGGCAAGCGATGGATAGGCAGAGAAGCAGTGAGTAGGAGGATGAGAGGGTCCTCTGCCCACATGGTGGGAGGGGTTCCCTGTGTAACCTCGGATGGTTACATCGAGGTAACTGCACCTCAGCTGCTCCTCACCCTGCCTGAGGAGTCACGTCACTCCCTGAGGTATGTCAGCATCCCCAGCCTTCCTAACACCACAGACACAGTCATACCTAGACGCCAGCTTCTGTTAACGCACATCAACATCTACATGCCGTTTCCTCCTCCTCGCCATCCCATAGCAACAGCATCTGTCCTGTGCAAGATAAGGGGAGTCCAGAACCATCTTTAAGCATCCCTGGGGAAGGCAGAGGACGGGACAGGACTGGGTAACCAAGGGTTTCAAGCTGTCTGTGGTTTTGGTTCCCGCATAGGTCAATTCTGAATGCTTAGGAATTGTAGTAGAGTACCAGATGGGGCCTGGAGCCCAGAGCCTCCATTGTGATGTTCTATAGTGTCCAATACCCCAACACATATGTCCTATCTGGGCTCAGATTCTGGGATGGATGGGTTACAAATTCAAGACTTGAAAGTCCAAGGGCTCTGTGAGGTGAGGCCCCAGCTGCTGTCCTTCTCAAGCATGGGCTTGGGAACTCCAGAGTTCTTACACACACGCACACACACACACACACACACTGTGGTGCCCACCAATTCCCATCACCCTGAAGGTAAGGAGGAAGGGAGGTAGGGCTGCGATTGCCTAGAGGGTGTGCGGCGGAGCTTGAGGACCAGCAAGTATCATTAGGGGAAGCAGGTAGAGACACTAGGTACCTCTGAAGTGATGATCCCCTCTGAACTGACTAGGCCTAGCTGGAGGTCTGGCTGTGGTCAGAGCAGCCCAATAATTCATGTACTTTGAGAATAACGTTGGTCTTAGGGTAGCTGTGTGGACAGAGCCTAAGTCAAGGACCAAGTTGGACAATGGGAGGGGAGGAGGATAAATAAGGAGGATCCCCAAAGTAGCCGTGAGCAAGGGGTGCTTCCCACATTGCCCTGAGGAGATAGCAGGAGCAGATGGAACACTATGCTGGATATAAGGGAGTCTGCGCTTTCTGCTCCTGGCTGGGGCAGTGTCCTTCCCTATAGCTGCCCCGTCGTGATGCATCAGATCAGTGTTCACCCAATTGTTCTGTCCCATCCATATCCAGGGACAGAGAAGCAGGTGTTAGGACCTGCTGGGAGCCCACTTATCTTCAGGGGCCTCTGCAAAGGAAGAGCGTCCTCTGATCCCCTGTGCCAAGCCAGCCTCTCCTCTCCTCAGGGCTGGTGAGCAGGCGGGTGGCCTCGTGCCAGCCTTCATCGGCTGTGTCTGGTAACCAGACTAGGGTGAGCCTGGGGTAGGGGCCTCCCCATACCTCAGGTTCAAGGCACGCCTGGGTGATGTGGGGTCACCACATCAGGGAACCACTGCCTACGGGATCTTGGCAGGGGAACACCAGGGCATTTGGGGTCAACAGCTGTCCCTGGTATTCTGGGCAGCTCAGCAGGCTTTCTGAGGGGAACATCTGGACTCAGTGTGGTGGCCCTGGAAATTGCATTGATTGGTCCATGGCAAACTCTCTGTGTCACTAATCTGGGACAGATGGAACCTGAGCACCCATCAGGTCATGGCTGGAACCCTCTCATAATGGAGCCAGGAGAACTGAGGCCGAGAAGCCAGACAGTGCCTTCCCTCCAGTCACCTCTGCTCAACCCCAGCGCAGGCTCCAGATTCCAAGGAGCGGGTGTGTCCTGGGCCAGCCTATGGACAGTTAGGGTGCAGAAGGAAGGATGCTGGGCGGTGAGATTCCCTGTCTCTGTTACCATGCGGAGCCCTGCTGTGTACCCACTGGTCTGTCTGTCTGTCTGTCCCACACCAGTGCACCAAGACATGTGGGGTAGGCGTGAGGATGAGAGACGTGAAGTGTTATCAGGGAACCGACATTGTCCGAGGATGTGACCCGTTGGTGAAGCCCGTCGGCAGGCAGGCCTGTGACCTGCAGCCATGTCCCACAGAGCCCCCAGGTGAGGAAAAAAAGAGTCTGTGCACAGGGTGGGGGCCAGCGGGAGCTGTGGGCAGAGCTAGGGTCTAGAGGACCCACAGGCATTAGTCAAAGGAAGCAGCTAGAGAAATGCACAGGTGCATCTTCAGGAGCGGTCTTCTCTGAGGGGGAGGCCTGCCTGGGACTCTGGGAACACATGCAAAGACCTGTGTCTTGGAAAAAGCACTGATCTGAAGTTTGGTTGGGGTAAACTGTGGAACAAGGGACCGGGACGACCTGACCCGAGCAGCAGGTACGACTCTCAGGAGGCAGGGAGGCAGGAGCTACGTGGTTTCTTGCTTGGGCTTGGAAAGACAGACAAGGTCCAGTCTCCAAAGTGGATGCCAAATGCAGGGGCACGTGGATTATATTTTTGGGAATACTGATGCGTGGAGACAGGAACCCACAGGCCCTGGAAGGGCTTGGACTTTTCAGAAGGGACCAGGGACTCTCCCAAATCCTAAGGTTTTACCCCCCAAGTGATCAGATTAAACCACCTAGTGAGGTCAATATTTTCCTGGAGAGGGACTTGGACTAATAAAGGGATAGCTGAGACACAGAACTGAAAATCTGTAGTAGCTGGGGTGCTCTGGACCTAGGCTGGGAGGCTCATCTGTTGACCTGTTCTGTTGTGACTCTTGGGATGTCCTCAATGAGGCAAGAGTTGGGGACCCCAGGAGCTGTTCCCCTTGGATCTCCTGGCATTTCATCTCTCCCCCTTGTATTGTGTCCTGTCCCCAGATGATAGCTGCCAGGACCAGCCGGGCACCAACTGCGCACTGGCCATCAAAGTGAACCTCTGCAGCCACTGGTACTACAGCAAAGCCTGCTGTCGCTCCTGCAGGCCTCCCCATTCCTAGCTGGTGCTATAGCCCCTGAGACCTGAGCACCCCAGCCTGGGGCTCTCGCCGGACGCCCACCCTGCAGGAGATCCTGGGCTGTGAAGACGTGACACAGAGCACAACTGACAAGAAGGGGCTTTTGACACTGCGGCCCTGTCTCTGCCTTGGGAGAGAGCCTCCGGTGCCCACCGGCCCCTTCTCCTGCTGCTGGAGGCTGTGCATGAACTCTTAGGATCCTGTGTCTGCGCCCACACGAGAGGGCCCAGAGTAGGCAGTACCTGCCCGTTTTCCAGGCCCTTCTCTGAGGAGGAAGAACCCTCTCAAAGTGACTTGCAGATGACCCAGGAAGGAGAGAGTCTCCCTTCTTTGGCCACCTTGGGCAAGGAGGGGTCTTGGGTCAGCTGAGGAGCCCAGGCTGCCCCCTGGCTCTGGAAGTATTGAAGGTACCCCGTCCTAAGGCATTAGTGCCGCCGTGCCTCCCCTCCTGGACTTCCTGTGCTGGATGGAAGGGACGGCCCCTGTTCTTGCGGTGTCCCTGCCACCCTCCTCACTACTCACTGGTGCATGTTAATAAAGTGGCTGTATTTATGGCAGTGTGCTGGGGTTTCACTCACTTGGGGCGGGAACGGTGGGCAGCCTCAGAAGCTTCAGGGAGGCTGTACAGGGTCCTTTGCTGGACAGTGGGTGCAGAGATGGGCGGCATCAGGGCAGAAAACAGACAAAGGCACCCAGAAGAGCAAGGAGTGTGCACAGACGGGTGCCGCGAGCCGCGGGGCAGTGTTGAGGTAGAATCTTGCATGAATCTCTAGCCTCTTTTTAGCTGCCCTCGGTCCGGGGCTTATGGCTGGGATGGATCGCAGGGTTACAGGAATGCTGGGGGGGGGGGCAGAGGGAACAGGAACGCTAGAAGATACAGGATAGGGTCAAGAGTACCTGGAACTGTGGGCTCAGGTTTCATGTAAGGCCATCTACAACTCCCTGAGGACCATCCTCAGGGCCACATGCACAGCTTCCCACATCAGGATGGCTCCTTGTGGGTGCAGAGACACCAGGGGACTATTGGGAGGTGCTGCTTCAGTCCGGCTTTTCTTGAGTGGAAGAGAGTGGAAAAGAAAACAGCGCACACATGCGGGTATGCACACACATGCACACACACACAGCCTCCAGTGAGGCAGGGGAAGACGGGGCTTAGTCTGAGATGGCCTTGGTTAGTCTCAACACCGAGGAGTCCTCTGGACCAGGTAGCAGAGAGGCTGGTGGCTGTCTCCTGTGCTTTGGGGTCAGTCTGCCCTGGACAGGTCTGCCGCTTAGCTCTGTTCCTGAAGGGCTTAGGGTTTTGGGGGGAACCTGAGGCAGCAACGCAGCCCAGTGTGTTATTGCTTCTCTGGGTGCCTGTACCACAGGGACTGAATCAAGATAGCTGCTCCTACAGATTTTGTTTTCTTCCCCCAAACCCAGAAGTTAGCAGTTTGGGAGACGGTTGTTCTTCAGGTCATCAGCTGGGCTCCGACAGAGCAATTTCCTTGTGTCTTGGGGGTTGGAGTCTCTGCCACACCCGAGTCCCATCGTTACCCCTCTGCCCGGCTCCTTCCTCCCAATTTCCTCCCTCTCTGTTGGCCTTTATTCCTAACTATGCTGGGCTGTGTCAGGTACACCACCAGTACTGGCTAGCTTCATCTCTTTTGAGTGCACCACTACGCTGATGCCAGCTCAGGGACAGTCAGCCACTTGTCCTCAAGAAGCATAGCCCGTCGTGTTCAATCTGCTCTTCAGGTTGGTTAACAACGACCTTGAAGGCCACCGGGGGCACTGGAGATCAAGGGTGGCTTGTTATGATGCCCTCTTTGCCTGAAAGCTGTTACAGCCCCTCTGGGTAGAGCTGGAACTCACCAGCTGGGCTGGGAAGGTAGACTCCATCTCATTCCTGAGAAGGTACCCATGGATGGACAGACAAGCAGCCTAGTGCCATGGTGTGGGAAACAAATTTATTGGCTTTTGCTTTTTTCTTTCAAGGTGCTGGGTGGATCCCTGGCAGGTCCCATGGTGGTGTTGAGTGAACTGGTAGGGATAGATGCTTAATTCACCTCGAAGATGTTTATGGATCTGTACAGAGATGGAGGGTTAAAAGGGGGAGGAATAGAGACAAAAAAACAGAACAGCGCAGAGCACCCTTCCCTACCTCACTCATAGATACCCCAAGTGATGCAAGGGACAGATGCCATGGGTAGAATGGGACAGAGGTATTAGAGGGGAAAGGGGTAGGTTAGGGACTTCTGTGATTCTAAGGGTGAGTTCTGTTAGCAAGACCAAACTGAGGCAGGACAAAGAAAGGGAGACAAAAATTAGGAAAGCCAATGGCAGCAGGTCTCCAGGAGCACGGTTCAGCTGCCTGTAGTAAGTGTGGTGGGCCCTGCTGTGGCATCTGACTCAGGAGTGGCCACTGTCTTATAGGAAGGCACCTTCATGGGGGCACTTGCTCCCTTGGGCTCCACTGCCGGACTTGGGGATGAAATAGGGCCCCAAGGGGTAGAGACTCTTGAGGCTATGCTGCCAAAAATGGTGCCTCTTTCAGAGCAGAGAGCTGGACTCCTGACGGCTGGGGTCCTGGGCTTGGGGCACCAATTCCTCAACCAGTGGAGGGCTTGGAGCAGCATGGGTGGAGATGAGGCCTCCACACAGGGGCAGCCCGCTCTGACTAGCGGGCCTGGGGCCTCATTCCAAGCAGAAATCAGAAAGTGGACGATCTACAGCTCAGCTTCCCCCAGGGACCTCAGTTCCCACTGAGGACCAGAGTTCAAAGGGCTTTCTTCAGCCCTGCCCCACTGCATGTATGGGGATGCAAGCCATGGATGCAATGGTCTGCCCGAGAGTCACACCCGAGACCCCTCGTGCACAGCTGGCCACCTCCAGTGCATCTCTAACCCGGCTGGAAGTGTCTGTCGGTAGACTGGGTTTAGGGTAAGTACTGGCTGTATCAATTTTAGTGTCACCCTTCCCAGAGTAGTGTCCCCTGTGCCTGTGCCTCTTATCTCATCGAAAAGCAGATCGGGGTAGAGCAAGCGTCCCGGGACACTGCTGTCTCCTAAGCTGTCCCTTCAGCAGGGAGACTTGTCCATCTTCAGGGAGGCCAGAGCAATGGGTATTTCAAGCTTGGGGAGGATGCTTGTCTCCTAGGCTCAGGGTTATGAGACCAGGAGGCCGGGAGAAGGGATGGAGAGAGGGCGAGGAGAAGGATGGGAAAGGGAGACACGGTGAAGGGACAGAAGATTTATTTGGTCCATGGTCTCTAAGGAAGATTCATGCTTGTAGGGCCACTGGTAGCCAGTGAGGCCACTGTTCCCTTGAGCAGGTAGGTAGCCCAAGGCCTGGTGGGGGGGTGACAGGCTAAAGCCATGAAGCCAGAGACAGGCAAGTTGCTGGGGTTCACATTAGACATCTTCTTACATCCTGGGAACAGGACCCGGCCCCCGTGCCCCAAAACAGCCTTGCCTTACCCTCCTGACCCCTGCCTCCCTGCTTGTACCAGCTGTCCCCACCCACAGCTGCCACACCCGGTTCATTGGGCTTTATTCTTGTAGAGGGCCTGGGGGTTCCCCATGCCTAGAGGCCCTAGGACAGGGATACAGGGAAGACGTGACTGAGCAGAGGTCTGGGCATGGGGCCAGGGTGTGCCATGGGGATCCTGCCATGATCTCAAGACCTCCCGGGGCTGGATGCCTAGGCAGTGCGGAGGCTTGTCACACATCGGTGCTGACGCTGCGGCTTCGGGAAAAGGCCTCCCGCATGGCAGAGAGGCGGTTGGGGTTGAGCGCCTGTAGGCCCCCGAAGGTCGCGGGGGGCAGCTCCACGTCCTCCTGGCTGATGCTTTTGTAGGCCACTCGGCCCCCGCCGTTGCGGACACCCTCAAAGTCCTCGTCCTCTGGCTCCTGCAGGAAGAAGGTGGGCGGCTCGTAGTGGGAGCAGCTGCGGCACAGGGCTCGCACCTGTGGAGACTTCTGGCTGAAAGAGGTGGCGGCAGCCGGGTAGAGAGCAGGCCCGTTGGTCAGCACGAGGTTGCGGTTGGAGTGCAGGGGTGGCAGGTGCGAGTGCACGGCGAAGTCGGGCTCCTCCTCGTCCTCCTCGGATTCGTCCTTCTTGCAGCAATAATACTGTGGGTAGAGGCCACGTGACCACGGCGCACTCCCCGCCAGCGCTGACCAGTGTAGCCCTCAAGACTGTGGGGTGGCCCCGCTCAGCTCAGTCACCTCCGGCCCCTGTGGCCCCTGTGCCGCCAGCCACCACCCAGCATCCGCCCCAGCATCCGCCCCAGCCCGCTGCGGGCTGAGGTCCCCGCGATGTCTCGCTTATCTGCCTCATCCACACAGCTAGATGTGTGAGTCTAATTTCCAACCCGCAGGCAGGGAAACTGAAGCACCGTTGGGTAAGAAACCTGAAAGCGGCAGAGGTGGGTAAGCCATTTCAGATCCTGGAGTTGAGTCTTAGGCACTGGGTGTGCCTTGGACTCAGGTGCTCCCTCCTCTCAGGAAGATGTGGAGCTGCCAAAGCCCAGGCAGGGAGGGGTACACAAGGCGGCACACTCTTCACCCCTGCTCTCCTGAAGGGTAGCTGTGTGCCACTAGCCAAGTCCTTGACTCTCTCTCTCTCTCTCTCTCTGAGCTTCAACGAAAGCCCTGAGTGAGTTGGGCAGCTCGGCACTGAACTGTACAGAGATACCCCAGTCCCGTTGGTGGGCATCTCCCCTGAAGTCTGACTGCATTCTCCTCCACTCTATCCTGGCCCTCTCTGCCTTCTTGGGGGCTCGCCCTGAAGAGCCACCCTTCAGGCTCCACCCCAGCCAGGTCCCCTTGCCCGTCCCTTTGGAGTACCTGAAGCCGACAGTAGCACAGAACCGCGATGATACAGAGCAGAATCACAGTTGCCAAGATGCCCCCAGTGATGACCACAGTCCCGGCTGTCATCCGCCCACTTCTCCATCAACAGCCTGCAACAGACACCACAGGCCACAGCATTATAAGTGGCTCTATGCAACAGCCACTATTGTACTCCATAGACCAGCTGGAGGGGAGAAGGAGACACCCCAGAATGTGGACACCACAGACCAGAGATCAGCCTAGGATGGGAGATCCAAGCCCCCAAGTCCTGCTCCATCTCTTTCCCTCAGTTTCCCTATTTGCAAAAGGTGAATGCGATTAGCCTGACATTGAAGTTTGTTTTAATTTTTATGTGTATGGGGTTTTGCCAGCATGTATTTCTGTGTATGCTTGCTCACAGATGCCCCAAGAAGGTTTTAGATTCTCTGGGACTTGAGTTACAGACAGCTGTAAGCTGCCATGTGGGTGCTGGGAATTGAATGGGGGTCCTTTGGAAGAGCTGCTGGTGCTCTTTTTTGTTGTTTGTTTGGTTTTGTTTTGTTTTTCCAAAACAGGGTTTTTTCTGCTTAGCCATGGCTGTCCTGGAACTCACTCTGTAGACCAGGCTGACCTAGAAATCACAGAGATCCACCTGTGTCCACCTTCAGAGTGCTGGGATTAAAGGTGTGTGCCACCATCACCTGGCCTAACTGCTGGTGATCTTAACCACAGGGCTATCTCTCCAGCCACTGACCTGAAAACCTGAAATTCTCTAACACTGTCTTTCTCTGTCTGTTTCTGTCTCTCTGTCTGTCTTTGTCTCTGTCTCTTTGTCTCTCTCTCTCTCTCTCTCTCTCTCTCTCTCTCTCTCTCTGTGTGTGTGTGTGTGTGTGTGTGTGTGTGTGTGTGTGTGTGTGTGTGTCTGGGCATAATGTCTGGGTACATTTGTGTACATGTGAATGTGGATGGAGCCACAGGTCAGCATCAGTATCTGTATCAGGTGTGTCTTCATCTATTTCCACCTTACTTTTGGAAATAGATCCCTCGCTGAGCCTGAAGCTCATAGACTGACCAGGGTGCCTGATCAATGAGCTCTTGTCTCTGATTCCCCAGGGCTGGGGTTACTGATGAGTGCCACCACACCTGACTTTTCCATGAGTGCTAGGGAGTAGAACTCAGGTCTTCATGCTTGCAAGGTCAGCGCTTTGCTGACTGAGCCATCTCCTTAGTCCAAAAGTAAAGCTTTCTTGAGCCTGTCTTTCAGCATTAGGTATGATACCCTCCTTTCCAGACTAGCTTGACACTCTGTACCCAAAGCAGAGCACAGTGGCACATACCTGTGACCACAGTAGGGAGACGGAGGCAGGAGAATCAGGAGTTCAAAGTCACAGCACCATAGCAAGTATGAGGTCAGCCCGGAATACCTGTGACCCTGTCTCAAAAACAAACAAACAAACAAACAAACAAATAAAAAGCAACCCAGTTCAGGCAAATGCTGCCTTTACGACTTGGCCTATCTGGCTCTTTGCCTATTTTCTTCTGTGGTGCAGTTTCTGATATATCTCACTACTTAACACAGCCAACCCCTTTTACATATTCAGTGGTGGTAAGATACACAGCACATAAATTTACCATCTTTCCTGTTCCTGTGTCACTGCGCATAGCTCTGTATTGGCTTGGGTGCGTGTATGTGTCCTGTGTGTCCAAGTCAGGGGTCCACCTCCAACAGCTTTTCTTAGGAGCTGTTCGCCTTGGTTTTGGTTTTAGCTTTTTACTTAAAATATTTGATAACATCCATTTATTTGTGTGCGTGTGTCAAGTGGAGATCAGAGGAGAGCCTGAGGGAGTCCGCTCTCTCCGACCATGTGTATCCCAGAGATGGAACTCGGATGTCAGGCTTGGCCACAAGTACCCCCATCCACTAAACCTCCTAGACAGTCTCTGGTTTGTGTGGGGATGGGCGAGGGGCGCGGAGAATTGCTTGATTTTATTTTGTTTTGACAGGTTCTGCCATTGGCTTGGTATTTGCCAAGTAGTTGAAAGAGCTGGCCAGCCTGCCCAGGGGTCCACTTCCCTCTACCTCCCCAGATCTGGGACTACACATGTTCACCCCACACCTGGCTTTTAAATACAGGGCACAGGGGATAAAACTGAGGTTCTTGTGTTTGAGCAGCAAATCCCTCACAGACTTCTCCAGCTCTATCTTCACTATTGTTAAGTGTCCAGGTCAATAACAGACAAGATTTTCTTTCTAGAACTTTCTCATCTCATGAGATTGAAAATAAGCAATTTCTTGCTGTTTAGGAAATTTATATCCAGAAAAACATATTCCCAGTGACATTATAGGGAAGCGGTAGTGAGCCCTCTATGTTGCAGAACCAACCTCAATGACTCTTTCAGAGTAAATTCTTAGAAGGCAGATTTCTGGGGCCCTGACAGCATGAGCTCTTCATCGCAAGGAGCTTGTAGCCGCTTGTAGGGCTCAGCCCAGTAGAGCCTGTGCTGATGAGCAGCCCTGCCCTGTCTCCTTTTCAGTCTTCCCTTGTCTTTTGCAAGGTGACCATTCCAATCATGACCAGTGCCAGTTGAAGCAAGACTCTTAACAGCTTTCCCATGACCCGTCTGTCTTGCAGGGCCCTTCCCTGAGCAGGACCTGGGCAAGACCATCCCTTCCTCCATCCCTAAGACTTTCTGGTCTTATGGGGTATGGGGGAGATGACATGGGAGGGAGTAACTGGAATATTTTGAAGGAAAGCCAGCATGTCTCAGTCTACACATAAACACTTCTGTACAGATGGCAAAGGGGACTCAGAAAAGCCTCAGCTCTGCCTGGTCTCCCCATCCCCTGAGATGCCATCTTACTTACAGTGGGTCTGCACACATTAGGACTCACTTGCGTTGGACTTTTGCAATCCAGAATGCCTCAGCTCTCATGCCCTTCTCTTGCCCCCCTGCCACGTGGTTAGAAAAGAAATGGAGCCATTCATCTCATAGAATTTTCTATGTATTAGAATAGGTGTGTTTCCTCATGTGGCAGTCAACAGGCCCTTCACGGCCACTTGGTGCATCTAAGCTGGCCACCTGGTGCATCACCTTCAAGGCCTGGAGTCGGCGCCCCTCCTTGTGATGTTGCATTGACAGAGGTTCAGTCCAGTTCTTCCATCATGGGATTTCCCTCCTGACTGCCACCCGACTGTTCCAGCAACATCATAGCAAAGGCAAAAGAGCAATTTTTCTGAAGTTTCATTTCTCTCACGTTATTTACTCAGGTTCTTCCAGATAAAGTTACAAGAGCTGGCTGAGCTTGTGATCACAAAGCCTCACATGAAGATGGAAGGCATCCATGCCCGTACCCCATCACCTTCTCGAGGAGGCCTGTCCTCCCTGAGGCTGGAGGCTGTGTCTGAGGCTCACCGGAGCGCTGCTCGATGACTTGTTTCCGTCTACTGCAGTCATTACCCTGCAGGCAACATTCACACACCGTCCAGTGGGGCTGCGGGCTCGGAGGCCTCTCCATGGCTGCTGCTGTGCCATCCCTGTGACCTCATGAGCCCTTGGTGGAGTTTTACAGGAGGTACTCACCGTCTCGATGTTCACAGCATTTCGAGTATGACGATCTTTCATAGTGAACTAACTCATTTGTTAATTTGTGTGCTTGCCTCATTCCCTTGAGACAGAGTTGCTCATTATTGGCCAGGCTGGGGACCAGGACATAGTGATCCTCCTGGTTCCAACCCTCTACCCCCTACAGGTGCAGGGCTATGCCCCCAGCATTTTACATGGGTGCTGGGGTTCCAGATTCAGATCCTCATGGGTGCACAACTCTTATCCAGACGACACTTGTTATCTTATTTTTGTTTTGAGACATAGTCTCATGTAAATCAAGCTAGCCTAGAACCCCCAGTCCTCCTGTCTCTGCTCTCCAAGTGCTGAGACTTCAGGCAGGCACCACCCGCCAAGACGCTTTGCATTTTCAAAAGTGGAAACCTAAGGCATGCGTTCCTATCGATATTTACACTTAAACTTCGGGATTCTGTTTTTTTTGGATTGGGTTTTCCTTCATTAAAATTTGATCTTTTACTTCTCTTTTAATAGCCTACATTTACTTGCCTCTCTCTTTGTATCTGTAGCAATTTTAAGATGGCTATGTCGGTGTCCCCACTGAAGCCTTCTGGAAGCTCCTCGTTTGTCTCTCTGCTGGCTCCCATGAGGATGGGGGTGAATGAAAGGACTTTCAGAGTCACCACAACAATTCTTAACAGTGGCTCCCCACCAGCTCCACACCCAGATTCGTTTTTCCTCATTTGTTTCAAATATAAAAATTATTAAACTTTTCTTTTCAATTATACAAGGTGCTTGGTTCTACAGACCACAGCATAAACCCAGGAGCATTTGGAGGCCTTCCTTTCCCTCCCTTCCTCCCTCCCTTCCATCTTTCCTATGCTGTGTCCTGGAAGCAACAATTTGTCTGAGCTCTGCATTTCTCCTTCCTCCTCAGTCTCGTCTTAAGCACACACACAAGAACACTTCCCCTTCTCAAAGAAAGAAGGTGCTGTTAAGTCGCTCTGCTCCTCCTGTTGCTTCATGTGGCACTCTGGCCCTGTGCTACAAGGACAGTTTTAGGGAGCCCTCTGGATCCACTGTGGCACTCGCTTGGCCTGCTCACACCCAGGTCATGCTCCTTTAGATAGAAGAACCTCAGATCACCCAGCTGGACCCTACAGACGCCATTGTCCACTTTTTGTTGTTACAGATACATGCGCAGGTTTCTAAATTTCTGCTAAACCTGGCCAAAGACCTGCTGGTATTGAGGTTGGTTAATCGTCTTCCAGGAGCATATGAGAGTGACTGAAAGGCTGGTCTAGGTGGGGAGGGTCGTATGAGGTGTTCTCACACATTTGAAGCTGGACTTGGGAGGGTCAGGTGGCCCGGTAGGACCTGAGTACAGATGGGGGAGGCATGGGCACATACTTCTAGAGAGAATCTTGCTCAGGCCATGCTGTGAGCCAGAGGCAAGGCTGGGACTAGAATTTAGACCCCAGAAGACAGATGGGCAGACGGACAGACAGACAGACAGATGGCAGACAGGTTCAGACAGACCCAGAGCAACAAGGCAAGGGACACAGACAGACATAGGGACAACTCCAACCAAATACAGGCGAGTCCAGACAGCCCCAAAGTGTGAGACAGTGGGGTGCAGACATGCTGGAGACACAGACAGAGAAGGAGCCCTAGGGACCCTACACATTCCTGGGCATGCTGCCTGGCAGCTCTGGCCCTCTCAGCCTCTCAGGAGGCTGGGGCCAGCTGGCTAGCTGGCCTTGCTAGGACTGTAGGCCTGCAGATCAGGAGCTGGGAGCAGGTGTGCAGTCGAGGGGACTGGAGGGCAGCCCAGGCACAGGGCATGCTTCTCACAGCAGGGGACCCTGAACTGTGGTCACTCTGGCCTCCAGACTCAACTTCCCTGCTCTCATCCTTCTGTTGGGGTACCAGGAACATTGATTTTCTGGGGTCACTGAAGAGATCCCGGAAAGCCCTCCTTGGTGGTCAGAGGGGCTGGGAAGGGTGGGGCAGGTACTAGAACCCTGATAGTGTAGGAAGAAGACTGAGGGCATTCACCTGGGAAGTGCACCAAATCAAACGATGTCCTACATAAGGGGAGACTGGTCTGCATGTGTCAGCCTAGCACGCAGTGGTGTCTTATGGTTGAGAGCCATGACAGCAGGGACAGGGCCCTGTTGCATATCAGTGGAAAGAGGAGTAGAGACAAGTGTCTCCAAGGCACAGAGACTGTCTTCACCCTTATCATCTGGCCTGTGTGTCAGACAGACCCCTCTCTCTGAAATGGTGCGGGCCCCAATGGCTGTCTATATGTGGTCATCTACTAACCATAGCCTGGAGAGGAGAAAGTGGACAGTCTATACCAGTCCCAGCAAGGCAAGCACCCAGGGTCAGGTTAGAGCCAGATCTACAGATGTGCTCAGGAATGTGTAGGGTCTCTGGGGTCCCCTCCATCTACCCCAGGGCAGGAATGTGTCCTCTGCTCCCCCGCACATGACTGCTGAGCCCTAAACCCCCTCTGCACGAATTCCCTGAACCCTATGGCACCCCTGAGCAAACAGGAACTGCAGCAGATAGTTTGGGGCACAGCCCAGTCTTACCCTTGCTCTCTGCCTCTGAGCCACAGGCTGGTGGCTGCATTTCTACCATTCTTGCTTGTCCTTGGATTACAGCAGAGATATGAATGGGCTTGAGGTAAACGCATACCCTAGCCTGGGATGGACAGTTTCTCTCCTGGGAAATGGAATTAGGAGATCCACTGCTCCCTGCTGATCAATGGCCTGTGTGAAGGCACATGTGGCAAGGGCTGTCATTTTCAGCCACATGTGTGTAGAGTCAGAAGGAGTTGCAGAGGAGGGAGAGATAGACACAGATGTGGAGACGTCCTGACAGAGTCTCTGGGACCCTCTGAGCTTGTAAAGATGCCACTTTAAGTGGGTTTCTGCAGTTCACACCCAAGACTGATGACCATGGAGAGCCCCATGGGTCACCACACTGGTGGGAACTTGTTACACTCTGAGAGGCCAAGTAGGAGGCAAGTGGATAGGAAAGCTGGACTTTCGTGCCCTGAAAGTAAAGATTCAATGTCCTGCAATGGCCCAGCCCATCACTGGGGCTCACATGCAGGGTCAGGGACTGGGGCTGGGATCTAGAGGCAGCGTGTGACCCAGTCAAGGGTGCCCCCTTGGATGTAAGGTTGGAACTGAGAGGAGGGGAGAGAGCTCACAAGAGGCATGACAGGGCTGCGGGGCCTCCTCGGGACAGGGGAAGGAGTGCTCCATACAGTGTACTCAAACAGAACCTGAGTACCAGCCTAGCTCTTCCCCAGTCAGTCACTGGACAGGCTCCAGATGCCTCGTTGTTTGTTTACATGCCTCAGTTTCCTACCTTGGAAGGTTAGAGAAACCCTGAGGATTCTGTGAGGGGCAGGACAATGTCATACTATAGGCACGAGTCCTTTCTCGGTTCAGTTCTCCCAACGATCTGGCCACACTCACCATAGAGCCTCTCCCAGGTCTGAGAGACACATCCCTCACTGGCCCTCAGGGCCCAGGCTGCTTTTTGCTGCTCCTTGGGGCCTGGGTTCTCTCCAGCGGCAGGCAGCCTGGCGGCATGATGGGAAGGGTGCCAGCTTAGGCCAGGTGCCCAGGGCTGTCAGCAGCCACTGCTCCAACACCCAGGCCGTCCAGCTGGAGCATCCCAGCATCGCTTCGCTGATACACACACACCCGCGATGGGTGCCAGCATGGGGCCGGTCCAGCATAGACACACAGGACACCGCAGCTCTGCTCACATCCAGCCTGACGTCATCTATAGTTAACTACCAACAGCCTCGGGGGTGACCAGGCCTCCCTTGGCTCTCTCCACCTGCTTTCCCTCTGGGATACCCCTTTCCCATCCTTCCACAGCCATCAAATCCCAACATATGTTTGCTTAATCCAGAAAGCCTTCCTGAATTTCTCCAGCATGTACCACGTATTTGAAAAACACCAGTGCTAGCAGGAACCATGTCTGGGCAAAGAAAGGAGAGTATGGGCCAGAGCCCATGACCCTCCTGCTCTTGAGTTCTTCCCTAAACTTGTCTTCAAGGGGCTAGGACTTTCCACAGCTGCAGCCTCTGCCCCTACCTCAGGTCAGAGGCCTCCTCCTGGGCCTCGGCTCCCTCATCTGAATGCTGATTCAGTACAGTTTACCCATAGGCTTCCATCTACTCCACATGGTTTAGTTTTGAACCACCCTGCAAGGGGCCTTGGTGATTTAGATGTACAACCTGAATACCTAAGACAACAAGAAGGCTTTGGGGCTTGGGAAGGGAGCTGGGTTGTACCCATTGAGAGGAGGAGCCCAGGGAGCTTCCTGGAGGGGAGGAAGCTTCTATGCTGGTCCTTGAGCGATGGAGAGGAGGGAAAGAGCCCGAAGGGCCCAGGACAGCCCAGTCGAAGACTGAAGCAGGCCCAGCAACACCTGACAGGGACCACCGTACAGTCCGTCTGCAACCCCAAGGCGATTCTACAGTCTTCTCATGCCAGCCAATGAAGTTTGGCAAGGCTCTTGCTGAACTGTTAATTGCCCCCCTGGGACCATAAACAGGTTTACAGCCTTATAAAGGCCTTATAAACACGTGCTCCCTATCCCCATCCCTGGTTTCTTCAAGGACAGAGTGTGAGACGAGTCACTCTGTAGACCCGCCACACGTTCTTGGAATCTGAACGAGTGTGTTGGGGGGCAGGGCGGGAGCAGCTCTGGTGAGTGACAGCGTGTTTCCCATAACCCATGTCTAGGCAGCCAGCCTGGAGAACAGCCATGTTACAAGCTCCCGTTGTCTCCAGTGTAGAGGCCCAAGCGTCGGGGGCGGGGACAAGGCAGGAAACACCTGGCAGCAGAACCAGACGCCCCCACCTGCCTCCTCCCGTGAGCTCCCGCCTCTGGCAGGAGCCCCCCACGTAGCTGCCATCTGGACTGTGCATCCTGCGTTTAACCCACTGCTTTCTCTGCTCCCCTCACTTTGCCTTCTTAGCCTTAGAAGACTTTTGCACCTCGCTTTAGTCCCTGCCGGTGTCCCAGAGGGTAGAGGCCACATAGGAAGGCTTTGTGAAGGCCAGCGCTCTTTCGACACCGCAGGGCACCAGAGTTGAGGGCCTGGCAAGCACAGCTGCCCCAGGCCACGGTAGGGCAGCTTGGGATCCTGAAACTTGCTCCTTTAATGAGGGTCTCTGCCAACCCAGTGAGCATACTACTGCTCACTTCCAGATGGAGAAACTGAGGCCGGGACAGAGAGGGTTGGCTCTGTCTGGGAATCCAGGCTGGCTGTCTCACAGCCTCTATTTCCTTGCCAGAGTCTGGGCAAGGGCTTATGGGGACTCAGAACCCTTTTCCTCCCCCAAACACATCTGTCTGGTTACAAGTATTGCTACTACCTGGAAGCCCAAGGGCCCTGCGGTCCTGAGCGAGCAGAGAGCGGCCTGCAGGGTTCCTGTCTAGACCTCCTCTGCATTTGTTCCCAATTTCACGCTCTGCAGGCTCCCAGATTCCTGTGTTCGTTCAATAATAAATAGATGGGAAAGTGTTCAGCGGCTCTGTGTGGCTGGGTCGGTCTCAGAGACACTAACCAGAGCCCACCACAAGGGGAGGGCTGACAGGAGGCGGCTGGCTGGAGAGCATGCCAGCAGTGTTGGAATGTGTCCCCTGGCACTGCTGAGCACTCGCAGCGCTCCCCCAAAGACCCAGGAAGATTCCCAAGAGCTCATAATTTGTAGAGGACACCAGAAAATGTCCACAACAAGGGGA